ATTTTTTTTTTTTTTTTTTTTTTATTTTTTTTTTTTTTTTTTTTTTTTTTTTTTTATTTGAACTTATTATTTTAAATATAATTTTTATATATAAATATAAAATATACAAAATAAACAGAAATAAGTAAAATTAACAATTCTTTTTTTTACATAATGAATTTATCAAATGGTTTAGTAAGTAATGATTCAAGCGAACAGAATGAAAGTGATTATGATGATAATGATGAAAATATTAATAAAATAAATGAATTTATTGAAAAACTAGACATGTTAAATAATAATTATGATCTAAAAATAAAATTAAATAGGCAAAGGGAAAATGAAAATTATGTTAATAATATTGATAATATAAATATATATATAAAAAAACATGAATCATTTAAAAAAAAACTGAATGAAATAAATAACTTTTTTAAAAAAAAATGTAATTATGATGCTTTTTCAAAAATTGAAAAAGTTTATGTGACTATATCTAATATAAATTCATCATATGAATTTATTTCTCTAAAAATTAAAATTCAAGATTATATAGAGAATATAGAAAAAAATATAAAAAATAATTATTTAAATACTATACCTTATCTAAATTTGTTTTTACAAATAAGAAAAAAAATACATAAATATAGTTCTTTATATTTTTTTTATTCAAAGAATGAAAAATATAATATCCAAAACTCAAATTTTTTAAAAAAAGAGGAAACAATAATTGAAAATGATATAATTGATTATGTTAATTATAAAAAAACTTTTATTTTTCAGAATGTTTCAGATAAAAAAAATGAACATGCTCAGGTATATAACCAAATATATGAAATGGATAAAGAAAAAATTAATTTACTTAACAAGTAATAAAAAAAGAAAAATTGTGAAATTCAAAAGTATAAAAATATATAAAATTAAAATATATAAATATAATTGTCTATATAATATGACAACATATATATATATATACAGCTAAATATATAGATATTCCTATTATAATTATAGCTTTTCATTTCTATTATATAATTATGCATTTCATGACTGTTTTTTTTTTTTTTTTTTTTTTTTATTAATAATTTTTGTGAACTAATTTTATTATTTCATAAATATTTCTTTATAGATACTATAATAATGTGAAAAGGATAATTGAAGAAGAGATAATTGAATATATTAGAAAAAAAGATATTGATAATATAAAAAATAAAATAAAAATTTACTTAAGCTTGTTTCAAAATCAAGAAAAAGAATATTTAGAAAATAAAACATGTAATAGTAATATAAGCTCTCCTAATGAAAATGAAAGTGAAGAAATGAGAAATAATGAAAATAAAGATGAATACGATGGAAGCAACACAGATTATGAAGAATATTTCATTAAAGACAACATAAAAACTAATACAAAGGAAAAAAAAAATGTAACTAAAAAAATTAATTCAGAAAATAAAGATAATTTGTCATTTAATAAATCAGAATATGAACAAAGTATAATTGATAATTTAGGTGAAAATAATAAAAATAGCAGCAAAGATATAAAACCTAATAAAAAGGAAGAATCAAAAATAATTAACAATATAGATGATTATTTAATATATTTTGATGAATATTTATTTATTTGTTATGTTACTATTTCATTAGTAGAAATTGAAATTGATAAACTTTTAGATTTATTAAATAGTAAAATTATGAGCAATGAAGATAATGTATATATCGAATGCATAAAAAATACTTACAGTTGTTTTTTCAAATATAATAAATTTTTTGAAAATTTAGTTCATGATCATATTGTATATATAATTTATAATAGAAAGATAGAATTAATTTTTAACAAAGTTATTAATGTAATATTTAAACAATTTTTTTCACAAGTTAAATTATCTATTGAAAATTTTGATGAATTAAATAATTACGATAAAAATATAGAAATACTGTCATTATTATGTTATAATTTTCTTAATATTAAAAAATTTCTTTATGATTTATCATTTAAAAAATTTGAAAAAGTTAATAACATTTTTGATTTTAAAAATTACATAAATACAAATACATTTTCAATTGAAAACTGCCTATATAAAAACCTACCTTATATAAATTTGATTCAAGATGCAATATGTTCTTACATTGATAATGAAATACTATTTTCAAAACATTGCATAGATAAAGCTTTTATATTAACAGACGATATAATGTTATCACTTATCGGTGATGAGAAAAAAGATTTCAACTTTGATGAAAATTTTAATTTTGATAATGCAATAAATAATAATGAATTTACGTCTACTTTTTTAGAAGATGCTTTTTACATTTTTCAAAAATGCGTGTGCAGAAGTATAAATATGAATGACATTAATACTATATGTGTTTTAATAAATAATATAATGACTGTCTTATCTACAACGTTGAAAGATTATTTAAAAGAAAATGTAAAAACTAGCAAAAATATTTATTCTTCTTTTATTCATGATATGAATAATTTGAAAAATTTTTCCTTTACTAATCTATTAAACAGTATTGATAAAAATAATTATTTTGAAGAAAATAGCAGTAAAACCATATTATTGGCCCAAAATTTTGTAAATTCTTTTACCTATATTAATAATGAAAATAATAAAACCAGTAATACAGCAATCAATTTAAGCAAAAATAATTTTTCGAAAGATAAAACCTCATTTAGTAATAATATCAGTAACCAAACAAAAAACATTTACGATTTTTTAACTCCAAGTCATTATGAGAACTTATTTAATCCGTTAATGCCTAACCAAAATATAAAAAATCAAATTATTAACTCAAAATTTAGTTACCCACATTGCATAAATAATATTGATTCATGTTATCAATATATTCAGAAGTATAAAGTATTTATTAATGATTATTTTACAGAACAATTTTTACACAACAATAAGGAAAAAAAGGAAGTTCAAAATTATTTACTTATGTTCAATAACTCATTAGCAATTTATGATAATTTATTAAAAGATTATGAAAAATTAAATATTGAAAACTGCAAAATTTTATTAAATATTTTAAAAATACATTTTATTAATCAATTAATATTAATTGAAGATATAAATTTTGATATTACAAATGAACAATATTCATATTACCAATTAAATGATCCTTATATAAGTAATTTAATAAATAGAATAAAATTAATTTTGCACCACATATCCTTATATTTTAACCAAAATATTTTTCATATATGTATCCATTTACTAGCAGAAAAGGTTAAGAATATCTATTAGTAATATTTTTTAAATTACACACACATAAACTTTTTAAATTTGCAATTTTTAATTATCTTAAAAATGTATGCACTCTTTTTTTCATTTCCATATATATATTTTTTATTTTTTTTTTTTAGATATGCAAATATATTGAAAGAATTATTAAAAAAAAAAAATTCAATTTATATGGTTGTGTACAAATTGATAATGATATAAGAAATTTGATGTTATTTTTTACGTCTTTAACAAATACTAATGTTAAAAAAGAGTTTTCAAAATTATTTGATATATGCGAATTATTGAATATAAGTGATTTACAAGATTTTAAAGATTTATATGATGAAAATAAAAACAATTTGAATTCAAATGAAATTGAGAATATTTTATCATTAAGAAATGATATTTCTGAAGAACTGTTGAAGTCTATTAAATTATATATTAATTCAAAAATAAAATAATGTTTAAGGAAAGGATTTTTTTTTTTTTTTTTTTTTTTTCTTTTATGTAAGAATGACTCCAAATTTTTAAATAAAAAAAAAAAGAAAAAAAATTTATATTGTTGAAAAATTATGGTAAAATTTAAAAAAAAAAAAAAATGTTACTAAATTGATTAAAAAAAAATCTTAAACAATTAACACAAAAGGGTATAAAAAATGTATTGTTAAAAAAAAAAAAAAAAAAATAGCTAAAATAAAAAAAAATAATAAAATATTACCAAGGACATCTACTTTTATGTTTTTTTTTATAGCTATAATTTTTTCTATGCATTATTTCCATTTTCATTGACAAACCTTCAATTTCTGAACCTACAAGAAAAAAAAAAAATAAATATAAAATAAATAAACAATATTAACAGTCATAATAGAAATAATATTATATTAGTATATATTAAAAACAACTTAATAAAAACAGTAAAGAAATTATTTGTTATTTTTATTTAACCATCATATTTATCAATTGCTTTTTGTGCATCATTTATGTTTTCAAAAATACAAACTGCTGTACCCTTTTTATAAAAAAAAAAAAAAAAGAAAAAAAGAAAAAGAAACCGAAAGTATATTATATGTATATTATAAAGATGTATTAAAAATTTTTAGAAAAAAAAAATTACATTTGATCTATCTGTATGATCATAGTTTATCCATGCATTCACAACTTTACAAACATTACTAAATAATTCCTAAATGAATATATAACATTTTTTTTTAAAATAAAAGAAAAAAATGATATTATATTTAAACATATATGAAAACTTTTTTTACTATTACCACTAAATCATTTTTGGAAATTGTGTAATCTAAATTTGATATTTTTACTCTAATGTGGTTATTTTTTTCATTATCTTTCTTTCTTTCTTCGTAATTCTTTCAAAAATAATAAATTTAATACTGTAATACTTTCTAATTTTATAAAAATTTTATCATTTATTTTATTATATTTACATTATATGAATTTTTTCCACTATATTTATTTATCCTATGATGGTAGTTAGTTCTATATTCATCATTCTTCTATGAAAAATAAAGCATATTTTTATAAAATGAATAAATTAAATTAAATTTTTTATATTAGACATTATTTTATTTTGTTTTTTTTGTCTTACATTTGAATTATATTTATTATATGATCTATAATAGTGCCTTCTATGATGTTCATCTGAAAAAAAGTAAAAAGCAAAACTTGTGTTATGTCAATTTTTTTAAATTCTTTTTATTATTTTTATATAAACCACGATATTTTTTAAATTCCCTCATTTTAATTTAAAAGATACTTATAATGAAATTGGCAAAAACATATATAATATTATATAAAGTTATATATTAAAATCTTAAATTTTTATGTTTTAGAAAAAATAAATGAAATTTAAAAAAAAAAAAATAAAATTAAGAAAATGATATATTATAAATACATATAATTGCGTAAACGCTAAAAAAAAAAAAAAAAAAAAAAAAAAAAAAAACAAAAAAAAAAAAATGAAACAAAAAAAAACAAATAAAAAAAATATAAAAATAAAAAAGTGCAACTTGAAATGTTTCTTAATAATAATTAAATGTATTGTTTTTTTGAGAAATAAAAAATATAAATAGAAATGTTATTACAAACATATAACAAAACTATACATATATATATATCTGTTTATTCTTATTTCAAAAAAAAAATAAATAATTGTTAGAAATAAATATGAAGAAAAAAAAAGTCATAAAATTAAAAGAGGAATATATACCTAAAAGCAATTATTGTAATATATAAAATTAGATAAATTATAAAATAAAAGTACCACATCTCTTGTTATATTTCTTATTGTTCTTTTGTTTTTATCATATAGATATTTCCTCTATATATGGAAAATTTATTTGTTTTATTTCACATTAATATATACATATATATGTATATAAACATATAATATATATGCATATTTTTTTTTTTTTTTTTTTGTAGTTAGTAAAGATGCGTTACTTACAAACATCTTTACGCAAAGTAAAGAAAACTCAATTTTTGATATTGAATCAAAAGATTCTCAGTTAATTGTTAATTGTATTAACAAATTACTGAAAAAAAATTTGCAAACGAAACTAAAAGCTTTAAATGTAATTTTTATGAATTCTACATATATATATATATATATTATTGCTTATCTTTTTTTTTATCTATTCTGTTTTTTTTTTTTTTACATATATTTTTACTATACATATTTTTATAATAATATTATTTTTAAAATAGGAATTAAGTTCTCTTCTCACCAAACATGATGAACCTACAATTAGCTATTTTTTTTCATCATTTTTAAGTGTATATAAAAATTTAATATATCACACTAATTATAGTTTAAGAGAAAGTAAGTAAAATGTGTATATATAATTTTATTTTATTTTTTTTTAAATATATATTTATTTATAAGAAAAATAGCATTATATATATACATATATTTTTTTTAGGTGTTTATATATTACGCTTCTTTTTTTATTACTAGAAATACTATTCATGATAACTTTATATTTTATTCCATATAATTATAATAATTGATTACTTTTTTTTTTTTTTTTTTTTTTTCAAATAGATTTAAATTTGTGTCTGAAGCTATTTATAGAAAAAATTAAAACAAAAATTAAAAAACATTTGAACATATTTTTACCACATTTATTTATTTCACTTTTTGATTTCAGTAAAAATGTAAGAATTTCTCTCTTTTTTTTTTTTTTTTTTTTTTATATATATATATTTCATTATATAAATATACGTGTGTATTCATTAAATATATTTATTTTACAAGGTGAAGAATATTTCTAGCGAGATACTCTGTATTATATTTCCATTAAAAAATAATTCTGAAAATGAAGGAGATGAAAAAGAAAAGAATAAAATAGACAAGTTGAAATTATATGATGAATATAAATTATATTCAAACATAAAAAAATTAAATGTGAATATAATTAATTTTTATAACTGTTTGAAATATATTAAGAATGATTTAAATGAAGCAATTGTGTCAAATTTAAAACTTATGAAAAATGAAGAAGATTATGACATTAATGTATATTTATTTAATACTCTGTGTTTTTTTCCATCTTTTATTTACATAATTATGAAATTTGTTAAATTAAGTAGTAAATTAGAAAAAGGAAAAGAAGAATCATTAGAAGAAAACAGTAAGGAAATAGTTAAAGAATGTATTAAAAAAGAATTTGTTAATTTTGAAGAAACATTTAATCATTTTTTTTGTGTTTTAAATTTTATATATAAAGAATGTAAAGACAATGTAAGGTTAAAAAAAACGTTATATTTATCAATATATAATATCATTTATTTATTAAAAAAAAACAAAATTAATTATATTGATTTTAATTATAACAAAGCTAATTCTTCAATTTTTAATTATATTTGTTGTATAATTAATAATAAAGATGAATATATTTTAAAAAGTATAAATCATTTATTATTGTTGTTTTTTTTTTCTGAAAATAAGAAATTAATTAATGAAAATTTTCTTAGAAGCTATTTATCTCTTATTAAGCAAAATAAAACATATGGAATAGATTCTTTTAATTATAATATGCCTTTGTTTATATTCATATTTGAAAAGAAAGATATAATAGAAAACTTTTTTTTCTTTTATTTTCTTTTCTATTTTTTATTACTCAATCAAAGTAATTCATCCATAAATATTTATTATGATATTCTACTTCATTTATTTGATTATTTTGATTTTATTACAACAAATATGGAGAAAAAAAATTTACTTGGTGATATAAAAGAAAATTATCAAGAAAATACCACTAAAATAAATATCAATAAAGAAACGGAAATGAAAATAAATATCAATACAGAAGATAAATATAAAAATGATGTAAAGGATGAATATAATGATATGTATTTTTTAGCGGAATATGAGTGTTCTATTATTTTATGTGAGAATATTTTGCTCTTACCTTTAGAAATTTTTTTTATTCAAAAAAAATTACAGAATTGTAATTTTTGTTTTAAAAACGAAAATTTATGTGATTCCCTTTTTAATATATATTATTGTCATAAAAAGAAGTTAAAGAAAAAAGAATCAAAAGAAAAAAATAGATATGAAGATTTAAGAAGAAAGTTTTTTGATGGAAATATAGAAGAAAATAACCTATTATTGACTTATATTAGCTTTATTAAGTCATCAAATATTAAAAATGAAATAATAAAACATTCTTTAGATTTATTAAAAACTTATGTGATTGATATAAATAATAAATTACAGAATAAAGATAAAAATAATAATTTAGTTAATGATGATAATAACAGTTTAAACAATTACAACAATTACCATAGTATCATGAGTTTTTTTTTGAAGTTTTTGTTAGAATTAAAATATATAGTATTTCCATTGAAGCATCAAAATAATGATATTAATATAGATGTAAGGACATATTTCATTCATATTTTAAATTTAACATTCATTAATTTATTAACTTTAATAGATTATAAAAACTATGAATTCATTGAAATTTTTAAAAATAATTTTGATTTATTAAAATTTCTTGTTTTTCAACAAAAAGAAGAAAATAATATATTTTTTATGAATAATGTTTTTAATATATTTCAAAAATTATTGGCAAATAAAATATTAAACAAAGAAATTTACTTCAATTCTTTAGATATTACTTTAAATTTAATACTTTTGTTTTATTTAAATAAAATCTGTTCATTTGATGAATTATTTAATTCATTTCTAAAGGTAATAAATAAAATTAAAAAAAAAAAAAAAATAAAAAATAATTAAGATACTTATTATATGTCTGCTTACGTAGTATATTTTTTATATGTTACTAATTCATACGTTTTTCTTCATTTATTTATTATATTTAAATTTTTTTTTTTAGATATTGTTTGATGAAGATTTAAATAAAGAAAATGTTGAAGACAAATTAATAGTGTGTATAAAATTAATTAATTTTTTGAAAAATAAAAAGATAAAATTCTTTCATCTTTCAGAAATTATATTAAAAATATATCAATTTTATATTAGTTGCAATTGTAATAATGATACACTAACTACATTTTATGAATCTCTTTCTGTTGGTGAAAAAGATAATATTTTATTTGAAGAAAATTTTTATTTTGACATATTTAATATATATAAAAACAGATTGAAGGAAATAAAAAGATTCCCTGAAAATAATTTTTGTAGTTTTTTTCTAAAATTATTTACAGATAATATTTTAACAGAATATCTAAAAAAAAATTATACAACTTTAAGCAATATATACATATATTTTTTGTTCACCATTTACTTAAAGATAAATTATAGCTATACTGAAAAATATGATAATTTATTTTTAAAATTAGAAAGAGAAACTTTACATTCTTATTTGAATTTAATGCAAGAAATTTACAAAAGATGTACGGAGGAAGAATATACTTTAAATCAGAAAACTTTGATTTCATCTAATTCAAAAGTAATATTAAATGAGGAGGAAGATAAAACTAATAATTGTAATATTTTAATATATATTAAAAATTCAAAAGTTACTTTTAAAGTAATTTATGAATATAATGATGATTCTTATAATATCAAAAGAGATGATGGTAATATTGATAACAACAATAGTAATGATAGTAATAATAATAATGAAAATGAAGAAATTCAAATGAATTTATTACTAAAAAAAGAGGATATTTTGAGTTCATTTTATATCTTAAAATTATTATGTATATATAAAATATATTATAATATAGAAATTTTTACTTTTGAAAACTTAAAGAATTTTACATTTTTTTGTTTCAGTATAGAACCTCTTAAAAGTAATTCATTAAAAATGACTGAGAATCAAAATGATGGTATAATTAATTATGGATTTGATGATTTTTTTAATTTTATTTATTTAAATATTGAATGCACAAAATTATTTTTTTTTCTTAAAACAATAAAAAATGAATTAAAAAATAATGAGAATAATTTATCTCTTTTTTTTATTATTTATCAATTTATTGATAATAAAGAAGTTCATATTAGTGAAGATATAAAAATTTTTGATGTTATATATATTTTGAAGAGAATAAATAAATATAAAATTTTTAAAGCAGGTAAAATGATACTGAAAAAACTTATTAAAAAGGAAAGTGATATACAAGAATTTGCAAAAGAACTAATCGATTTTAAAACAAAAGACTCATTTAATTTAAAAGTTAAAAGTTTTTTATTTAAAATGTTTCTAAAATATGTATTTAATAATCTTGAAAAAGATGATATAAATGAAAATGATAAAATAAATGATGATATAAATGAAAATGATAAAATAAATGATGATATGAATGAAAATGATAAAATAAATGATAAAATAAATAATGATATAAATGAAAATGATAAAATAATTAAGGATATAAATGATGATATAGATGATAAAACAAACAATATTAGCTATGAAAATAATTTACATTTACTAAAAAAAAAAATTCCCAAATTTTTTCATTCTTATATAGATGAAAATTTCAATCTAAATATAAAAAATGAAATATCTTGTTTAAATTTATTGTATCATTTAATAAATGTCAGTAAAATTAAAAATTTTAATTTTTTTTCTTGTAAAAATGTACAAAAGTTATTATTGGAGTCAACATATATAACATTAAGTAATTTTGATATTTTTTTTTGTTGTTTATCATTTATAAATAATTATGATTTTTATAATAATAATGAAATTATTTTGAGCAATTTTTTTAAAAATTATTTATCATTCTTAAAAATATATTATAAGAAAATATATGAAGAGCAAATTTGTATATATAAAGAAGAGTGCAAAATTTTGAATGATGCTTTAAGTAGTAAAATAAAAAATTCTGAAAAAATAGAAAAAAGAAAAAGTATAAAAAAGAAAATATATTTAGATGAAGACAAATTGCATACAAAATGTGGAATATATTTTTTAAGGTTTGTGTATAGTTTAATCGAAAAGAATGTAATTCTTTTTGATTTTTTAAATAATAAAAATATGTTAAGAATGCTAATTAAAATAATTTATTTCATTTTATCAGTAGATCAATGTTGTAATAATAATAATATAAATAAAAAATTAAAAATTCTTTGCATAAAATTATTAAAGAAAATTTTCGATTATGATTTACAACATTTTGATTCATATTATAAAATATATTTTTTTTGTTTAAAATCAAGTGTTTGTGATTACAGTGAATATTTTATAAAAAAAGTTTTTTTTACAAAGAGTATTTTAACATTCAAGAATTTACACAAATTAAAAAAAAAGGTAATGGATATTTATATTAATACTTATTATTTATTTATATTATTTTCTAATATTGAAAAGTTTAAAGATAACAAGACTTTTATTCACAAAACATTTTCTATACTTTTATTAAATTGTATATTAGTTAGTGAACTACAAAAATTAAAAAATTGTGATATAGAGAATTTTAATACAATAAGCTCATATTTATGTATAAACAGAAATAATGAAAATTTGTTCTTAAAATCTTTTATTAATGAATATAGCGATTATGAAAAGAATTTGTTAAATGATATTAAAAATGAAATAAATAATAGTGAAATGAGTTATGATAATGATAATAATGATAATAGTAATGTTAGATTATATTATACTTCTAATAATGATTTAAATACAAATTCAAGTGTTGATAGTTTTATGGATAGTGAAGAAGATAACTATACTAAATGTAAAATTATAGGTACTGAAAATAAAGAAAAAAAAAATCTAAATTTTACAAATGAAAAAAAAAAAAAAAGTAGCAATACAACAACTGTATCTTTTAATGATAATAACAAAAATTCTAATACACAAGAAGAAAATGATGAATTTACTACATTTTTAAATAAAAATAATAGAAAATATATTGATACAACTGATAAATTAAGTAATAAAAATAACGAGAAAATAAATGAGGAGAATGAAGAAAATAATAATAAAAATAAATACTGTTCTTTATATTTTTTAAAAAAGTATATAAAGAATGTATTTTTATTCATTGATTTAAATAAAAATATATTAGATTTATATTCGTTTTTATTAAACTTTAATTATTTAAAAATACTATTATCAATGTTAAACATATGTTTATCATCAGAATATTTTATTTATAACGCAGATTTGTTTCAACATTTTTTGATATTTTTAGAAAGTAATAACGTTAATTTGTATTATTTTTTAAATGATATAAAAAAAATTGATGAACTTATAGAAAATAATAGAAATCTAATAAATAATAAAAATGAGCTATACATATTTTTTTTTTCTTTATATTTAGCATTACTTCTTATAACTATATATCCAAATGAGTGTATTATTATAATTAATGAAAATAAATTATATAATATAATAAGTTTTAATCAATTAATTTTTTCAAATTTTATAATAGATTATCAGTTAAGTCAATTAAAAAATATATCCCAAAATTATATAAATACAACGTTTTCTTATGATTCTATTTCTAAAATTTTGTATTTTAAATACAAAATAAAAGAAGATGAAAATGAAACATTTGAAGATGTTACGGCAAAATTGACTTTGAATTTTTTGCCAAATTATCCATTTTCTCATTTAGTGATTAGTGATAAAATAGAGTCACTTGGTTAAAAAATAAAACATAATAAAAATATAAAATTTTATAATTGCAAATTTAAAAAAATATTTATTCTACTTGAATGTATATTATTCTGTTGAATATTTTAAAATATATATTTTTTTATACTTTTTTGTAGATAAGAAGGCTTACATTCACAATTCTATTAAAAGTATGTATAAATATGCGAGAAACGGAAATATTAATGAAATTTTTATTAAATTTGACAATATTATGAATAATTACTTTCAAAATAAATCACAATGTAATATATGTTTTATGCTATTATACGACAAAAAAACATGTGACAAAACTTGTTCTAAATGCAATGCATCTTATCACAGCTACTGTCTTCACAAGTAATATTTTATTTTTTTTTCTTTTTTTTTTTTTCATAATTATTAAATAATTTTTAATGTTATTATTTATATGTTATAATATTTTGAAAATAAAATTTTTTTTTTTTTTTTTTTTTTTTTTGTTACAGATGGTTTTTAACATCTCACAATACTAAATGTCCATCATGCCAAATGCAATTTAATTCTTGAATTAAAAAAATGAAATATTTGAGTTTCCTTTTTTATTGTATATATATATATATATTTAAACCGTATTATTTTTTATATTTTAAATGTATCTAGGTAATTTTTCAAGATTCTTTTCAAATGTATATTTTAATTGTCTTTTAATTTTTTTTAAATATTTCCTTTTTTTTTTTTTTTTTTTTTTTTTTTATTTGGAATTTTTAAATATAATAAAATAAATTTTTAAGAATAAAAAGAAAAAAAATAAGATGAAATGGAAAAGACAAGAAAAATATTAAAATTATTATACAAGTGTATATCTTTATTTAAATAATTTGTACTTATGCAATATATGCATTTAATAATCTGATATATTTAATCCTACAGAAAAAAAAGAAAAAAAAAAAAATAAAAATAAATTGTATTAAAATAAATATATGCTGTTTTATACAGACACATAGAGAAAGATTTTTATGAGAAAGAGTAAAATTTACAACTTTAAAAAAAATAATTACAAGTATATATATTTTCATAAGTAAAAAAAAAAATTGAAAAAGAGTGAGGTCTTAAAAATATCTTTGGATTTATAATTTTTTATTTTATATAAAAATATTATTAAAAATTTTAGGTAGATTAAAATTTATTTATTTAAAAAATAAATATTTTTCTTATTTTATTCAAAAATTATAGATACGAAAATTTGCAACATTTTTTTTTCCCATATTGATATTTATGTGGTCATTTTAAAGTGTAATATATTTTTTTTTTTTTTTTTTTTTTTTTTTTTTTTTTTGCATTTATATATTGATTTTCTAATAGGTTTTTCATTAAATAGTACATATAGAGAATATTTACTCATGTGTTTTGTTTGTTTTTATTTGTTATTTGTTTGAAATCATGATGCAAAATTATCTTGTTATACATGCTATTTTTATTAGTGGTTGTAGCTGATTTTAATTCTTTTTGATGTTTTTTTTTATCAGGTGTAGAAAAATCTGGTATGGATAAATTTCTTTTCATACGCATTGTTTTAATGAATTCATACGAGTCATTAGCATTAATGGCATGATAACTTGATCTATTAAACTTTCTTTTTTTGGCTGATGGAGGGGTCATATAATTGGTACTATCATCATAAAAAGATAATTCTTCTTTTGTTTCTTTCACATTTTTTTCTTTCATATCATTTAAAACTTTTATACTAGCTCTTTTTATGAATCCATTAGAATTTTTTTCATCATTTGCATATTTATCCGAGAAAATAGCAAAAGATCTTCTCCCACTTTTTTTATATCCTCCTAAATTTTTAAAGGTATCGTTTATTAATTTGAAAATAATTTTTGCATATTTATCATTCGATTTACATAAGAAATGTGAAATCATAGTAGTAGTAAGAAGATTTTTTTTTTGCTGTTCAATTTCACGAAACGTTTTTATGCCAATATAATATTTTAAGCAATGCACATACCAGTTATATACACCAATACCATCTAAATTGTCAAAACGAATATCTGAAAACCATGGATGAGATAAAGCATCAGCAGCGGTTATCCTATCATTTGGATTATATTTTAACATTTTTACTAATAAATCTATACCTAGTTCATCAATTTTTCCGTTTGTTATAACATTTAAAGCATCCTTTTTATCTTTAATATTTACATTAAAAAAATCATCTTTTAAAGGATAAAAACGAGAATCGCTAAAAAATTCTAATTCATCATTATTAGGTTTACCTAAAGAATTAACAATTCTAATTATTAGATCAAATTCAGTTACACCTCTAAACAATGGTTTTCCTATAATTAATTCACAAATAATACAGGCAGCAGACCAAATATCTACGTTTAAACCATATTGAAAATCTTTATTATTTTCTTCATCTTTATCTTTTTTTTTTTTTTTTTTATTTTTAGTTAGTTCAAATTTTGATAAAAGTACTTCTAATGGCCTATAATAAATAGTACAAACTGTTGGTGTCATATCACCATCATTTTTTAATTCTCTACATAAACCCAAATCTCCAATTTTTAATAAATACTTATCATTTTTTGTTTTTTGCAACATCACATTTTCTGGTTTTAGATCTCGATGACACATCTTATTATTATGCAAATATGCTAATCCATTTAATAATTGAAAAGATAGCCATTTAGCTTCTTTTAGACTTAATCCAGCTTGATCATCACTTATTTTTGTTTTTTGAATTAACTTCTTTAAATCTCCTCCATCGCAATATTCATAAGCAGCAAAAATAAATTTCTGATCAGCTGATAAAGGAGTCATATCTAATTTTCCTTGATGATGATAATTAGAAGTATAGTGTTGCAAAATTTGTCTATTTATGTATTCACTTATGCACTTTTGTCTATCAATTGTTACATCGATTAGTCTCAAAATATTTGGGTGTCTCCCAATATTTTTTAAACAACTTAATTCTCTTAATGTAGTACAACTTATTCCTTCTTCATTTATTGTTCTTAAATCATCACGAAAAAATTTAATCGCATAAACATTTTTTCTAAAAAATACAAATTCATCTGTGTAATAATCATATGGCAAATAATTTGTGTTTTGATATAAATCATTATTGTTACTATATTTTATAACTTTTCCTTTGTATACATCCCCATATGTTCCTCCTCCTAATTTTTCTTCTAATGATACAGTTGAATAAATATTATTAAAATATATTTTACATTTCGTTAAAGTTATACCAAACATTATTGTTATAAATAAAAACAAATATATAAATATACTGAATTAAATAATATGTATATATATATATGATTTTAAATAATGTAAATAAAGATATATGAAAACTCCATTTATAAAAAAAAAAAAAAAAATTTAAATAAACACATATTTTAATAATATCTATTCTTTTTTTTTTTTATATGTTCATAAGAATATATTAAGTCACTATTTTTAAAAAAAAAAGAAAAAATTTTTTTTCTTTACAATTCTTACATTGGGAAATTTTTAAAATATATATATATGATTACATATTAATGTAAATATGATAAATATAATTTATTTATATAAATAAATAAATATATATATATATATATAGAATGTCATAATATGTCAGTAGGTAAAATACTTTTTTCTAACAGCTTTTTTTTTTTTTAAGATATAAAACGTTATAAATAAAATTCTAATATATAATAGCCATATTTTAAAAGAAAAAATTTAATAAAAACTATTTGAAAATATTTTTTTATATTCACAAGAATTTTATATACACATATGTATATATATATGTATATTCTTTTTCTTTTTTTTAATGATATATGTAAATGTAACAAAGGATAATTATATTTTTAAAAAGAATCTTAAATAAAATTTTAATGTGTCTTATATTTTAGCATTTTTAAATTATCCTTATTAATACACTTAGATATATTTATATTTTACATTTATAATTTGTTATTTTTAATAAACATCCTTCTTTAAGAAAATTATATAAAAGATTAAAAAGAAAACATAAAAAAATAAAAAAAAAATTAGCATTAATGTAAAATGTGTATTATTTCTTAGTATAGCTTTAACAATGTAAAAATAAAACAAAATAGACATAGTAAATCAGAAATGTTTTAATGTTTAAAAAAAACAAAGACTAAAAATAAAAATATTATAAAAGAAAATATAATTTTCATAAAGAAAAGTAGGAAATATATTTATATTTCAATAAAATATATCATTTTACAAAAAAATATAAAAAAAGAGAAAAAAAAAAAAAAAAAAGTTATCGTTAGTAAAGAGAGAAATATATTTTAATCATGTATTGTAGGTCATTAGATAAAAAAAATAAAAAAAAAATAAAAAATTAAATTATTTTATAAAAACTTTTTGATTTTTATATGGAAGCATATTGTAATTTAAGCAATTAAGACTCTTAAAAAACTTACTAAAAAATTAAGTAAATATATGTATTTCACAAAACTAAAAAATTAAAAGAACAAAATACATATAATTTAAAAAAAAAATTAAGTATGAAATATTATAAAACATAATATAAATACTTTAAATAAAAGATATAAAAAAAATATATAGTACAACATATATATTAACATTTTATAATCTTTTCAAAAAAAAAAAAAAAAAAAAAAAAATCTTAGAAAATAGAATTATAACATGCTTTTTAAAAAAATACATTAAAAAAAAAAAAAAAAAAATCTACAGTAAAACCATTTGTCACATTATCCTTAAACTATAATTTACAAAAAAAAAAGAAAAATAAAGGATACTAGTATAGCATTTTCTAATCTTAATTTATAAATTTTTTAATGGAAATATTAAAAAAAAGTAAATATTAAAATACTCCATTTAATGAAAATGCAATTTTTTAAAAATACAAATGTTTTAAATTAAAAAAAAAAAATTAATAAATTATTTTATTTAGTTTTAAAATAGAATATATTTAATCTTTTAATCTCATTTTTTTATATTTAATTTTATATTTCTATATTCAACCATTTCAAAATATATTTTTTTTTTTTTTTTTTTTTAATAAAAAGTTACATTTTTTCATTACAATAGTGTAAATTTTATATGTCCTACAAAAAAATATTATTACATGTATTAAAGAATAATTTTCAAGTTGTTATAGATTAATGTATTTTTTTTTTTTTTTTTTTTTTTTTTATTTTTTTTGCGTATTTTTGTATGATACAAAAATAAGAGAAAATAATAAAATAATTATTATTATTTATTTATATATATATATATATATATAATTTTACAAGATGTAAATTTATTTTCAAAACTTTATAGTCATTCTTTTTAATAAATAAATAAAAATTAAATAAAAAATAGTAGAATATTTTCTTATTATTTCAAAAGAATAAATGTTACAAATAATATTCAGAATGTATTAACATAAATTTTGAATTAACATAAATAAAAATTACTTAAATTACTACTGTAAATAAAAAATATAAAAAAAAAAATTTCTAAAATTAAAATAACAGAAAACATATAATTTAGGTAAAAGGTGTTAAACATATTTATAGCTAATAAGTAAAATTTAAAAAAAAAAAAAAAAAAAATAATTAAAAGGTTGCAAAAGAAAAAAAAAAAAAAAAAAAATAGTTAAAATTGAGTAGAAAAAATATATAGGAAAATATTTTTGAAGTTTTAATATATTTAAATGAAATAAAAAATTCGGTGGAATTTTCAGAAAAGGGAAGAAAAATAAAATTCGTATTAAATATATTAAGATATAAAAATATACCTTTAATAAAAAAAAAAAAAAAAAAAAATGTTGATAGCATGAAAGAAAATAATAATATAAATAAAAAATTAAAAAAAAAAAGAAAAAGAAAAAATAGAGAATTTTCCTATCTTTCATTAAAAAAAGAAATTGCAAATTTATATGAGAAGGAAAAAAAAATTCTGTTACAAAATCAAAATGGGAATATATTGACGGAAAATACAGATATAAATAGTTTGATAGAAAATCCAAAATACCAAGCCACTTTATTTAATAAAAATGAAATGCTAAATAATTTAAATAGTAATGAAGTTATTAAAGAAAATTTGAATTTTAGACAAAAAAAAAAAAAAAAAAAAAAAAAAAAAGTTTTATATAATCGTAAAAATAGCATGCAAAAGAAAAATGTAAATGGTTTAATTAAACTTTTCTCTAATGAGAATAAAGATGTAAGTAAAATATGTATTAGTAATAATAATATTAAAAATGAAAAAGGAAGTATTATATATAATTCAAATGTAGAGAGTAAATGTAAAAAAAAAAACAATTCAAAAAAAAGTAGTAAAGAAGATAACAATTTAATAAATGAATTACTACACATTATTATTACAAAAAGTAAAATAAAAAAAATTAAAAAGAAATTATTAGAAAACTGCTTAGTAAATTTTGTTAGTTCAAATATGGTAAGATATGTTATACGAAAATCTAAAAAAGACATTGACCTTCATATTCTTAAAACATTTTTAGTTAATAATGTTGATATAAAAAATTTAAATTGTACTATTGTATCTAGAAGAAAAGTTGAAAAGTTAACTAATTATATATTTCCTAAAAAAAAAATCAAATCAATTGAAATTGTTTTATCTCAAATATTTAAAACAAATTCTATTAAAAAGAATTTTTTAGAAGAGTTTAAAAAAATAATTATATCGGAAAATGATTATTTATCAAGTGTTAAAATGGTATCTTTTTATCTTCTAAAAAATGAAAAAAAAAATACAGATAGTTATAAAAAAATTACAAAAATATATGAAACAAGTATAGAACTTTTAAAAAAAAAAATAGAAAATAAAGAAAATACAGAAACTATAGAAAATAGAAATGATAATTCTAAAAAAAAAAAAAACGATAAAATAATAAAATATCATGATTATATTTATGAAAATAACGAAGAACTGGTTGATAAAAAGAGTGAGCAAGAAGAAGAAGAAGAAGAAGAGGAAGAGGAAGAAGAAGAGGAAGAAGAAGAAGAAGAGGAAGAAGAAGAAGAGGAGGAAGAAGAAGAAGAAAAAGAAGAAGAGGAAGAAGAAGAAGAAGAAGAAGAAGAAAAAGAAGAAGAGGAAGAAGAAGAAGAAGAAGAAGAAAAAGAAGAAGAGGAAGAAGAAGAGGAAGAGGAAGAAGAAGAAGAAGAAGAAGAAGAAGAAGAAGAAAAAGAGGAAGAAGAAGGAGATGAAAAAGTAGAACAAAAACATGAAAAAGTGGAAGAACAAAAACATGAAAAAGTGGAAGAACAAAAACATGAAAAAGAGAAAGAACAAAAACATGAAAAACAGAAAGAACAAAAACATGAAAAACAGAAAGAACAAAAACATGAAAAAGATAAAGAACAAAAACAAGAAAAAAAGAATAAAAAAATATTTTATAGTGAAAATCAAACACAGATAAATAATTTATTGTCAAATATAAATAATTACAAAAATACCATAGATGTAAAACAATCATTGAAAAATAAAATAGATATATCATATATTTTGAAATTAGTAAATGAAGAAATAAATGAAAAAGATATGCAAATAAAAAATCTAAAAAATCATGTAAATTTAATAGAGAATGATATTAAATTATTATTTGAAAAAAATAAAATAATGGAAAAAAAAATTGAGGAAATGGAAATGAATGCAAAAAAAAATAGTTTACAAAATATTTTAGAAAAATCAAAAAAGGATATGTTTGTTAAGCAAAGTGATATTATTTTCAATATTTATGAAAAAGCTCATTTACACTTTAGTGATATTAAGGAATTAAATGATAAAACAGATTATACGAGTAACTTAAATGCAAAAATAAATAAAAATCCATTTAATTTTGCTGAAAATGTGTCTTTTGATCATATAAATGAAAATTCACTTAAAATTTTAAGTGTCAATGATATAGTTAATTTGAAAAAAAAAATGAACAAATTTATGAAATTACTGAAATTAAGTACTTCAAAAAACAGTGATACAATTGATACTAAAATGAAAAAAGAATTAAACTTAGATTGCATAAATAATGAAATTGATAAACTTATCTATTTATTAGAAAATGATAAAAATGTTATTGAAAGAAATAAGATAAGTAAATCTCTTAAAAATGATTATATTTTAGGCATAAAGAAAAATAAAAGTGAATCAACTATTATTAAAGGAAAAAAAAAAAATAGTACTCAAATACAAAAAGTAATCGAACATATAGATAAAAAAGAAGAAGAAAAAAATAATAAAATACAAAAAGTTACAGAAATAAAAAAAAAAAAAAAAAAATTAGAAAAAAACTCTATAATCAATAACGAAAAAAATTCAAAAAATTATAATGATGTAAATTCTTTGAACTATTCTTTGAAAAAAAATGAAAATATTTTTGAAATTCAGAAGAAAAATAAATCTAATAATATAAAAAATAACAAAAAATATATATCTATTAGTAGTTCTAGTGAGCATGTTGATGAACATTTAAAAAATGAATATAATGACAACAAAAAAGAATATAAAAGAAATAATCTTTTGAATAATTTAAACTTTTTTATGAATTCAGTTGACAATAAAATACATAAAAAAATTATATCATTAGATAATATTAACAAAAAGGAGAAAAAATATTTGAAAAGTGATATTTCTGATGACTCTTCTTTTAATAATGAAAAAACATACAAAAGAAAAAATTATTTTCAAAAATTTATGAGCTATTGTAATGATAGTGAACAAGATAAAAATAAGGAAAATTTAAATAATGAAAAACATAATAAATTAAATAATAAATATCTTGATAGTAATGAAAGTAGCGATGATAAAATAAATGAAAAATTAAATTCAAGTAATTTAAAAAATAATTTATATAATGAGAGTGTATCAGATATAAACAAAAATGTATCTAATGAAATTTCATATAGCAATAAAAAACAAAAAGGAAAAAAAAAAAATAAAATTAAAGGCAAAAAAAAAAGAAAGAATAAAAAAAAAAATAAAAGATATGAAAAATATGAAGAAAATATCAGTAAGATTATTCATTTAAATAAAAAGAATAAAAGAAATAAGGAAGATATAAGAAAAGACAAGCTCATAATTTATGCAAATAAAAAAAATGATAGATATGAAAAGAATATAGAAAAAGATAAGCATATCGCTTATATAAATAAAAAAAATAAAAGGAATGAAGAGAATATAGAAAATGATAAACATATGATTCATTTAAATAAATTGAGTGAAAATGTAACTGATGATAGTGGTGACAGTGTTGTTTATAACTATAATTTATATAATGCTATAGATGATTTAAATGCTCAATTTTCAAATGTTGTGAAGAACATCCGTTTGGATAGAAATATTCAAAAAGTTAAAAGTATATATCAAAGTGATAAAGCAAAAAAAAATGAAAAGAATTTAACAATAAATTCTTCACCAACTAGAGATGATATTGACAATTTTCGTTTTCAGTTTAATCAAGTAAAAAATGATTATAATTTTATTGAAGTTTTACCAAACGATAAAAAAAGAGAAAAAAAAAAAAATATATATGATGAATATATAACTCAAGAAAAAGCTATTGAAGGAATTATTAAAAAAAAATATATAAGAGTAAGTAATATATATATATATATATAGATATATTTGTAAGGAATATTAACAACTTTCTTATGTACTTATAATTTTAAGTAAAATATATATAATTAATATAATTTTTTTTTTCTTTTTTTTTTTTTTTTTAGGGTATATTAAGTGTGAGAAAACATGATTACGGGTTCATAATTTATAATAATCAAAAAATTCATATAAGATCTAAAAAAGATATGAACAGAGCAATAGATGGTGATTCAGTTGTAGTTAAGTTAAAAAAAGATAAAGAAAATGAAATTAGTGGAAAAATTGTTTATATTGAAGAACATCATGGGTCAAATATACAATATGTTTGTATTTTTAGAGATAAGATAAAAAATCAGAAATTTAATTTTGCTATTCCTTTTAAAAAAAATATACCTTTAATAAAAGTGTTAAATGAACATATTATTGAATTTATGAAAAAGTATCATATAGAGGATATAAGTAATCAGTTAGTTTATATTAAAGTGTTTAGATGGAACTCTAATGAAACCTTTCCAGAAGGAAAAATTGTAGAAATATTAGGGCAAAATGATATATTTCATAATATGCAAAATGCAATTTTATTAAATCATAATTTAAATTTTAATTTAAAAGATGCCTTAGAAGATCAACATTTAAGAGAACTAAAAGATAAAAATACTTACAAAAATATAATATCAAATGAAATAAAGAAAAGAATTGATTTAACAAAAAAATGCATTTTTACAATTGACCCAGAAACAGCAAGAGATTTAGATGATGCTATTAATATTAGTAAAATAAGTAGAAAAAAAATTATTAATTGCAATTACTATATTCAAATTATTCATAATTTAATTGTTCATAATGGGGAAATTGAAGAATGTATTTTAAAGAAAAATCTTTCTTTATTTGTAAAGGATGATAACAATTTTTTTGATAACTTGAAAAGTAATAAATATATAAAAGAAATGGAACACATAAAACATGATAATTTTATGAAAGAAAAAACTGGGGAAGAAAATAAAAAAAAAAAAAAAAAATCTGACAAAACAGCTTTTAAAATTTTAACAAAAAAATATGAAAAAAAAATAAAAGCTCATCAAAACATTAACTATGATATAAATAATGAAAGTTTTGAAAAAAATAAACTTTGCAGAGAAGTGAAAAAAAAAAAAAGAGAAAGTAGTGATGAAAATAATAACTCTATTAACATTATGAATCATATTATGAATGAAAAATCAATTAAAATGAATAATTATAGTGAAGATACTAATAAAGATAATAATAATAGTAAGAATAGTAACGATGAAGGTTTTTTTCATATTTCTAATGATTGTGTTAACACAGAATCAGATACAGATAATATTTTAGATGATATTTATGAATTAAAAGGAACACGTAAAAGAAAACATAAAATTTCTAAAAATGAAAAAAGGCAAAAGAAAAAAATTTATACAGAAAATTTTTGTAATATTTTTAGTGAAGATTCAGGGGATGATATTTATGATAGATATAGAGAAAATGAAGATTTTTTCTATTGTAAAATAAAGTCAGAAAGTGATACTGATAATGAAAAAAAAAAAAATAATAATAATAAAAGAAAAAAAAAAAAAGAAAACAAAATAGATATATTTAATTATGTTTCAAAATCGAATAATGATTCTGGAGAGGAGCAAAAGAAGGAAGAAAGTGAAGAAGGAAAAGAAGAAGATGAAGAAGAGGAAGAAGAAGAGGAAGATGAAGAAGAGGAAGAAGAAGAAGAGGAAGAGGAAGAAGAAGAGGAAGAAGAAGAAGAGGAAGAGGAAGAAGAAGAGGATGAGGAAGAAGAAGAAGAAGAGGATGAGGAAGAAGAAGAAGAAGAGGATGAGGAAGAAGAAGAAGAAGAAGAAGAAGAAGAGGAAGAGGAAGAAAAAGAAATAGAAGAAGAGGAACAAAAACAGAAAGGAAAAATACAAAAAAAAGAAAAATACAAAAAAAAGAAGGAATTGCTTAATAATAATAAAGCTGAAAAAAATAAAAAAATATACGAAGAAAAGAATAAAATGAAAAAATTCCAGAAAATTTTTTTAGATAACAGTGATTATGAATGTTTTTTTAATAGTGAAATAAAAGGAAAAAGAAAAAATAAAAAAGAAAAATTTTCAGAGAATTATGAATTTTTTTTTAAAAAAGAGTGTGATAAAGATATAGGTTATAATTTATTTGATAATCATGATTTATTTTGTGAAAAATGCAAACAAATTATAAAATTAGATGATATTATAAAAGAAATGAAAGAAGAAAAATGGAGAAAGTATAATTTATATGAAGTAGGTGTTCATATAACAGATGTATCATTTTTTATAAAAGAAAATTCTTCATTGGATATTGATGCACGTAATAGAGCAATGACAATTTATTTAACTCATACATGTTTTCCAATGATTTCTAAAATATTAAGTGAAGAATTATGTAGCTTAGATCCTTTAAATAATCGTTTGTGTTTATCTATTTTTTTTTACATGGACAGTACAGGTAAAATTGATCACAATTCCTTTTTTATTAAAGAAAGTATAATAAATAGTAAAGTAAAATTTACCTATGAAGAAGTTTATTTAATTATTAGAAATTACATAAAATTAAAAAAAATAGTAAATAATTTAAAAAAAGAACAATTTGAACTCTTTAAAAATAAGAAAAACAATAATTCTATTCTTGAAGATGTAGATAAAAATACTAAAAATAATGATAATAAAAATGATCATGATAATGATAATGATAATAATAATGATAATAATAATGATAATAATAATTATAATAATAAGGATAAGGATAATGATAATAATAATGATAATGATAATAATAATGATAATGATAAAAGAGAATATATTAATAAAAAAAATAATATTTATAAAAAATTCTTAAATACTCATTTTTACAATAATATTAATAATAATGATTCATATATATACCATAGTAAAGAAGATTTAACTACAATACTGAAAAAAGAATTTAATGAAGATAAAAAGACAAATAGCGATTTTAATTTTTGTAAAAATTTTCATTTAAATGAAAAAAATAATTCTTTGGATAATTTGGGAAATAAGCAAGAAGCTAAATATGATAATAATAATGTTATTTTAAAAAGTGTAAATAGTTTAATAAATGAAAAAATATTGAAAAATAGTAAAGTTAAAAAAAATATAAAGATATTAATAAAAATATTTAAAAACTTAAGTAACTCAAAACATAATTTATCAAATAAGGAAATTTTTACTATTATAAAAAATTTATATGAAATGCATAAAATAACAAAAGGAGCAAGAGAAATTAGAAGAAAAAATGGGTCACTATTATTTAACAATGATAAAATTAATTTTATTTTATCGGATGCATGTAATCCAATAGGGATAGTTAGAAAACAGTACACTTTTTCTAATTATATGATTGAGGAATTGATGTTAAGTGCGAATAAATTAATAGCTATTCGTCAATACTTTAGTAAATATAGAGATATATCGGTTTTTCGTTCACACAGTTTAGATAATGCAATAGAAGTTTCTGATATAATTGAATTATTAAAAAAACATGGAATTCATTTTAAAGTTTGCGATTTGAGACATATTTTAAAATTTCTAGATGATAACAAAAAAATTTTTAAACATGAAAAAAAAAATATTTTTGATGTTGTTTGTACATATGTAAAAAAAAAAATGATTAGAGCAGAATATCATACCTTTAAATTTATAAAAGACAATAATATGAGCACATATCATTATGCTCTTTCCTTTTTATTATATACTCATTTTACTTCACCTATTAGAAGATATCCTGATATTTTAGTTCATCGTATTATAAAAAAAATTATTTATGACGAAGATAAACTTAAAAAAAATATCCACACAGAAGAAGAAATCTTGAAAACTGTAGAAACATCTGATATTGTAAGTTTCTTTTTTTTTTTTTCTACTAATCTAAATTATTTATTTAAAAATATATTGAATTATATATATTTAATTTTTTTAGGGAATAATAGAAAAAATCTGTGAAAATTGTAATAATTGTAAAGCAAAATCTAAAAAAGCACAAATAGATTGTGAAATAGTAAGAAATTCTTAAATTTAATTTTATTTTATATAAATTGTTATTATTTATTTCATTCAATTTATATTTATTATTTTACTTTTTTTTTTTTTTTAAGGCATTTTTTTGTTTGTATTTGCAAAAGCTTGATTATCCAGGATATAATAGGGGTATTAAACTTTTATTTTTAAAGTTATATTTTTTTTTTTGTATTTATATTAACAATTGTTTATTTTATTTTATTTTATTTTTTTTTTACATAGGAATAATTATGGATATATATAAGGAAAAATCTTCTATTTATTTCAAATCATTTTCATTTGAAAATGTAAAAATAAAAAAAAATAAAATAATAAAATATCACCAATGATAATAAAATTATTTCTTATTTACTTTTCTTAATTTTTTTTTTTTTGTTTCCCTTTAGAATTTGTACCATTCTAACCATGAAAAGCATTTTCATAAAATGAATAAAGAACATATTGTAATTCAAATTTTTTTATATTTAATCATTCTTTTTTAAAATAAAAATATTAAAAATTTTATTTTTTCCAACCTTTTATTTTTATAGAAATATGTTACTAACTACGTAATCCATCCAAATATTACGAAACAAGAAGTAAATATAAGAAATAAGAAGCGAAAAAAAAAAAAAAAAAACATTAAAATAAAATAACAAATAATAAAAAAATTCAAAATTTTCATTTATTTTATATTTTTGGTTTTCTTTTTTTTTCTTTTATTAGTTTACACTTGTTCTCTATAATAAGAATACAAACAAAGTAAGATTACGAAGGGTGTATAAGGTATTTAAATAAAAATAAAGAAAAATGAAATACAAATTTTTTAATTTTAATATGTCTAACATTTATGTTCATTTTACTTTACAAATATCAAATATTATAAAACTATTTTTTTTTTTTTTTTTTTTTTTTTTTTTTTTTTTTTTTTTT